GCTAAAGTATCCAATCTTCTTCCACTTTATGAAACCATTTTGCAGCTCTTAGGACTCTTAACACAATTGTTCCTCTTTCTAAGAGTAGAATTGCTAGGTCATAGGATAAATCATTTTGAGGAACTGCTAAACATTTCTAAAGGTGGCTACCCTATTATACCTTTCCTCCAGCTAGGCAAGAGGGTTCTAATTGCACTACATCATCACCAACATATGATATTATCTGTCTTTCTGATTGTAGTCATCCTAGCAGTAGGTATGGTATCTTGTCATAGTTTTGATTTGCGTTTCTTAATGGCTATTGATGATGTGTACCTTTTCATGTGCTTGTTGACCATTTATATATCTTCTTTGGAAAAAATGTCTACTCAGATACCTACCTCATTTTTTTTTAATTCTATTACTTGTCTTTTTATTATTATTAAGTCATAAGAGTTTTTTTTTTTTTTTAGACGTTTTTGCTATAGGGGTGCATGCACTGGCCAGACAGACAGAGAGAGAGACAGAGAGATAGAAAGTGAGAAATCACCCCCCAGGGGGGATGGCCACACCACAATCCTTTCTCCTCCATTCTCGTCTCAGGATCTTGGGCACGCATGCACACGCGCCCCACGTGAGTTTTAAGCCACGGGGTCCGGGACGTGAACTGCGGTTGACTACATGGGAGCCCAGCGACATAGCCATTATGCTAACTGCTGGTCCCTAGTCATAAGAGTTTTAACATGCTCTTGATCTTTCTTCTTGACTCTTGGCTTGTGGACTGGGAGCTTAAGCATCAGCTGCAAGGATAACAGTCTTACAAAGACTGTTTAACCATATTCCACAATTGTGTAAGCCATCTACCTATAATGAATCCATGTATCTCCTGTCGATTCTCTTTCTCTGGTTGAACCCTGACTGTTGGACTCTCAGCTCCACATTCTTGTTTCCTGCCCCACTACTCTCCACACACAGCCCTGCTCCAGCCAAATTGTCCCCTAAGACCATCTTGTTTTATCCCTTTATATCTCATGTTTGTTTCTTCTACTGCATAGGTTTTCCTAGCTTTGTTCACCTGAAACTTTATCTGTCTCGAAACCACCCCATATTCTCTGTCATTCATAGAGACTTCTAATCCCACCACCTTCCTCCTTTGAACCGTATACTATGGTTTATTTCCTTGAAAATCATTTTCCTTTTCTGTAATCTCAAAGGGCAGTTGAAAGGAATAATGAAGACTATGCATAGACAATATCCTCAGAGTTTCTGGCTCATGACAGGTAATTCTATTTATTTTCCATCCCAGAGTATGTGAAAAGCTGTGTTAATAGTGTCATATGTTTCCAGTTTTGTAGATCTGGAAATGAGGACAAGAGGTTTAAATGATTCATGTTTTTATGCATTTTCCACTTTTCTGTGGCTTAGGATTTCTTCTTGAACAACTTGCTCTTTGTGCTCTGGGTTCCAATGTTGAACACACCCATTGTGTAAAGGCCTGTATTTGCAAGTTGATGGTACTGAAAACTTGTAGCCATAAAATGCTTCCTTTTATTGTATGAAATAATTTGAGGGGATTGAGGATTCAATAAATGGCAATATGTCTAATTAGTAGCAATGGATCTAATTTATAGCAGTGTCTCATGTTACGTCATGTTTCAAAGTAATTTTTCTTATTGGATCCTCACAGTAGCCCTTGCTGTAAGATAGGCATGGTGGTTGAATGGTGGTTGAGAATATTCTGCTAGCGATGACACTGAGGCACAGGCAGGGTTTTTTTTTTTTTTTTTTTTAGGGATTTTTGCTATAGGGTGTATGTGCTCACTGGAGAGACAGAGACAGAAAGGGAGAAATCACTCCCTGGGGGAATGGCCACATCACAATTCCTTCTCCTCCATTGTCCTCTTAGGATTTTGGGCATGCATATACACATGCCTGGTGTAAATTTCAAGCTACCAGGTATGGGACTCAGACCCATGGTCGGCCATGTATGTAACCGCTACTTCATCTGCTGACCCTGGCACAGGTTGGTTTAAGTTATATATCTCAGGCTCACACTAAGCAATTAAAACTCACAGATCTTGATTCCCAGGCTAGTGTTCTTTTTTCTGCCCTATCCAATAAGCAAAATGAAAGGAAGATTGACCTTTATTTCAAGGCAAAACCCAGTTGATCAGCATCTATTAGTTAATCCTGAAACTGTCCATGTTTGTTCTGTCACTTGGCATTTGCTTTATTATATACCATTCATATCCATGCTTCTATTGGCTTGCCTGCTGTCACTCTGTAATCTGGGATGCTGATCACATGTGTCAGATATGAAAAAAAGGTTACATTTGTTAGTTATTCTATTTATCTATTCTTACTTAACAAAACACCCTAAAACTTAGTAACTTAAAATGACTATTTTTTTAAATCTTTCTGTGAATTGGTTGGTTAGTTCTTTTAGTGTCAACTGGGTTCACACAAGGGCTTCTTGCAATGGGAGAGTCAGCTGGGCTGGAAGATACAAGATGGCCTTATATATTTATTTATTTTTGAAATATTTTTGCTATAGAGTGTGTGTGCGCTCATCAGAGACAGAGACAGAGAGACAGAAAGTGAGAAATCACCCCCCTCCCCCGGGGGGGTGATGGTCATGCTGCAATCCCTTCTCTTCCATTCTCCTCATGGGATCTTGGGCACACATGCATACTCACCTAGTGTGAGTTCAAAGCCACCAGGTTCAGGACTTGAACTGTGATCGCTCATGTGGGAGTCCAGCAATGTAATTGCTACGCCATCTGCTGGCCCAAAAGATGGCCTTATTCTTAAGTCTGGCAGTTGGTATTAACTGTTGTTCATATGACCTGGTTTACCTTCATATGGAGTCTCCCCTTTAGTAGGCTAGCCTGGTAGTCTCAAGGCAGTGTTCCCAGAGCACAAAGCCAGAGAATGCAAGGCCTGTTGAGGACTGAGGTGTTACCATACACAGCATCAGTTTGACCAGCATTCTATTGGTCAAAGTCATCACAAGGCCAGACTAACTTAAGGGTAGAGATGGGAAGAAACTCATGTTGCAAAGAATCATGGGATAAGTTATTGGGGGTCTCTTTAGAAATGGTGGTATAAGGAATCATATGTATTAAATGAAGAGAGAAAGTAGATATAGCTTTCTCACGTTACTCTAGCAGTTTTGGTTAGTGTTCATCAGCTATCACCACATAAGAAGAGGCTTGGTTTTCTCAAGCTCACAGTGCTTTTCCCTCCTGCCTCTTATCTGGTTACCAGACAGAACCACTGCTTTCATCCACCTGGACCAACTTAGCACTAAGCTCTAGGGACTGATAAACATTTTCTTAGGTATTCTCAGGTGTACTGGTCATTTTTTTTTATTAAGTCCCAGTAACATGTTTAGGCATGAAACCAAAAGCCTTAAGGCTTTCGATCTCAAGCGAGGATCATCAGGATCTTATGTGACTGACCGTGCAGTTCAAGTCCCAGACCTGGGAGCTTGAAAATCATGCTGGAAGCATGTGAGCATGTGTCCAAAATCCTAAGAGGAGACTGAAGGAGAAGGGATAGCAGCACAGCCACCCCCACTGGGGGTGATTTCACTCTCTTTCTCTTTTGCAAGTGTTCATACCCAATAGCAAAACTAAAATAAATAAATTATTGTCCATTTGACCCAGAAAAAGTTACTGTTTTGAGATTTGAGGCAGAGTCCCACCAGAAAATGTATTTCTCCTATACTGCTGTTATCCTAAGGACTCCTATTCTTTAGTGAACTCAAAAGAAGAGATACTTTGGTATATTATTCAGGTTTCCATACCAAAATATCATCAAAGAGCTCTTCATTTCACCAACATTTCTAACATCTTAATTTGGTTTTTTAAAAATTTGGTTTTTAAATAAATAACTCATTCCTTATCTTTAGTGAATGCAGCTATCTTTATTTTTTATACCTGATCTCTCTCGCTTTTACTTTTAAAGTTTATTTATTTAGAGACCAGTGGATGGTGTAGTGGTTAAGGCTCTGGGCTCCTACATGGCCAACTGTGGTTGAGTACTGGACCTGGTTGTTTGAAAATCGTGCTGACCACATGTGTGTGTATGCACAAAATCCCAAGAGGAGAATGGAGGAGAAGGGATTGTGGTATGCTTACCCCCTACCCCCAGGGATTGATTTCTCACCTTCCTTTTAACTGTCTCACTTTCTTTCTGACAAGCACACATGCGCTATAGCAAAAACCTTCAAACAAAGTTTCTTTCTTCTGAGATAGAGGCACTCCCAATAGGTTCCGAACATTGTGATCCTCCCCCAGCCTCAGCCAGCTAGGATCAAGGACAAAATTGCATATCTAATGTATACAGGGAGGCCTCAGAACATGAACCTAGGACATTCCCATGTGACCTTGGTATCATAGAGTGTAGTATACTGCTGTTCCACCACAGTTGGCCCACTCTATGTTGCTTTTAAACCTTTAAACCACAAGACTTCTTTTTTTTTTATTTTTTGGGGGAGCTTGATATTGCCAATTAATAATATATTATCCATTTAAAATCTGCTATATCTGTTTCTCTGTCTTTTGCTTAATGAATCAGTCATGTCTCTTTTCTTCTTATAGCCAGCATTATCCCCCTCATGTTTCATCTTCTTGCTAAGAGAGCATATGGATGCAGAGGAGAGTTTATACATCTTCATGGTATTGGGAGAGCAACTTCTGACATACCCATCTGGGTATTTCAACTGCTGCCCCTCCCTCTCTCTAGCCCCAGTAGTGGAGAGGCAGGTGTTAGTCTTTAACCCTTTGTTTTTTATTTTATATTGCTCTTTCTATGTCTCCAGAACAGAGATAGTTTGATCCTTTCTCTGTGGAGATACTTCCATCATATCCATGTCTGCCTTTGTTCATAATTTACTACATGTTTATTCTTACCAAGCTTTACTTCCTATATATAAATATTTGGTTTGAGGAGGTCTCATAATATTTCTCTATCTTGAAAACCTACCTCTAAGAGCTATTTGCCATCTACTTACGAGATTGAAACTCAGAGCTGAGCTGTTAAACTGCCTTCCCTTCTTTGGAACAGTAATCCAATCATGAATGATCTGGAAGTCTGCAAAGAAGGGAAATCTTCAAATCAGTTGATATTTCAACACCTTTCATAGCTTTTTGGAATTGTCTCATTCAAATAGCACTTCCCTTTTCTTTAAGTCATCACACATTTACTTCCATTGAGCCAACCTCTCATTTTTCCCATGTATTTTGTTAATGACACATAATTAATTATAATTATCATTTTACAGGTATACATCTTGTCAAAATCTCAAGATTATTAGGGAAAATTGCTTAGCATTGTACCAAACATATTGAAATCACTCAGAAAATGTATGAAGAAACCACTGTGGGCTCCTCAAAACCATAGAGAGCAGTTTTGGTCTCTTATGTCCTCCAGTGCATAACTTGAGAGTGCTCTGTACATAAATGGTATTCTTTTAAAGTTCATTGACTGACAAACAGATATGAAAATATATATGCACTGTGGTGAACAGTGATATGCATCAAGATTTTTATGGGAGCGTGAACTTTTAAGGGAGTTAATCAAGTAGCTGGACTGAAGAGTGCTCAACTCTATGTCCCCATTCTATTCTCAGGTTCTCACTCTTTAGAAGTCTTATTGCCTGCCTGCATACCTGCCTGATGAATTTACCTTGTTTTGTGGTCTAATGTCGGGGCCTGGTGCAAGAGAAAAGAGACATTGAGCTCCAAGAGATGAGAAAGTCCTTCCATGATATGCAAGAAGAATTGGACACCATACAAAAGAATCAAATGGAACTGTTAGATATGAAGGTTATAATGCAGGAAATTAAAACCTCCCTCGAAAGTATTAAAAGTAGGTTAGTCCATGCAGAAGATCAAATTTCAGAAGTAGAAGGCAAAACTTCTAACCTAGAAAAAAATGATAAAAAATACTCAGAAAACAGCCAAAAAAAAAACCCCAAAAAACTGAGTTCACTATATGAGAAATACTAGATACCATGAAATGCCAGATATCTGAATAATTGGTATCCCAGAACATGAAGAATCTAATAAGGGTATGGATAATCTATTCCACAAAATCCTGGAAGAAAATTTTCCAAGTCTAGAGAGGAATTCAAATATCCAGATCCAAGAAATACAAAGAACCCAAGGTAGAATCAATCCAAGAAGATCCTCTCCATGGCACATTATAGCTAGAATGACTAAAATGATATAAAGACAAGATACTAAGATTGGCATGAGAGAAACATCAAATCACCTACAAAGGCTATTCCATCAGGCTAACACTGGATCTCTCAATGGATACAATGCAAGCAAGGAAAGAATGGAAAATATATTCAAAGTGTTAAATGAGAAACGATTTCAACCAAGAATACCAGCAAGATTATCCTCGATATGGGAAAAGAAACACGTTCTTGGATAAACAAAACCTGATAGAATTTACCAACTCCAGACCAGCTCTTCAAGAAATTTTGAAATGAATACTATACCAAGAAAACTAAAGAGAGAGAGACAGCAACAAGAGAATAAAAACAACCAAGAATAAGGCAAACTTAATGTTAGAGACAAGTCTGGAAATATTGATAATAATAAATAACCTCCCAACAAAGAAAAGTCCAGGTCCCTATGGCTTCACTGATGAATTTTTCAAAACTTTTAAAGAAGAGGTAACCCCCATCCTACTCACACTGTTTCTAGAGACCCAAAAGGAAGGAACCCTTCCAAACTCATTTTGTGAAGCTTCCATTACCCTCATTCACAAAAAAGGATAAGAATATGACAAAAAAAGGGAAACTACAGACCTATATCTCTGATGAATATAGATGCAAAAATTCTCAACAAGATACTTGCTAACCGTATTCAACAACATAAAAAAAGGTTATTCATTCGAGGAACAACAAGATAGTGTAATGGCTATGTCGCTGGACTCCCACGTAGTTGACCGCGGTTCACGACCCGGACCCGTTGGCTTAAAACTCACGCCGGACGCCTGTGTGTGCGTGCCCAAGGTCCCGAGAGGAGAATGGAGGAGAAGGGATTGCGGCGTGACCATCCCCCCTGGGGAGTGATTTCTTGCTTTCTGTCTCTATGTCTCTCTCTGTCTGTCTGGCAAGCGCACACGCCCTATAGCAAAAACCTCTAGCAAAAACCTCTCCAAAAAAGAAAAAAAAAAGGTTATTCATTACAACCAGGTGGGCTTTATTCCAGGGATGCAAGTGTGATTCAACATATGCAAACCATAAATGTAATACACCGTATTAACAGAAAGAAAGATAAAAATCACATAATTTCAATTGATGCAGAAAAAACATTTGACAAAATACAACATCCTTTCATGATTAAGATGCTCAGTAAAATTGGCATACAAGGATCATTTCTCAGCATAATAAAAGCCATCTATGAAAACATATAGCTAACATTATACTGAATGGGGAAAAGTTGAAAACTATTCCACTAAAAACTGGTACAAGACCAGGTTGCCCACTTTCTCTGCTCCTATTCAATGTAGTACTGGAAGTCCAGCCAATGCAATCAGACAATAGAAGGAAATACAAGGCATTCCAATAGTGAAAGAAGAACTGTAATTTTCTCTGTTTCCAGATGACATGATTGTCTACATAGAAGACCCAATATTCCAATATTATCTACGAAAAAACTCCTTGAAGTAATAAATGCATACAGTAAAGTGTCAGGATACTAATTTAACTTACAAAATCTATAGCATTTCTATATACAAACAATGAGCAGACAGAAACAGAACTGAAGAAAGTAATCCCATTTACCATAGCCACAAGGAACCTAAGGTATTTAGAAATAAAACTAACCAAGGAAGTAAGTCTGGGACCAGCAGATGGCATAATGGCTATGTCTCTGGACTACCACGTAACCAACCGTGGTTTGAGTCCTGGACCCGGTGGCTTAAACTCATGCCAGGCGCATGTGTGTGCATGCCCAAGATCCTGAGAGGAGGATGGAGGAAAAAGGATTGCAGTGTGGACATCCTCCCAGGGGGTGATTTCTTGCTTTCTGTCTTTCTGGCAAGCGCACATGCCTTATAGCAAAAAACCTCTCAAAAAAAAAAAAAGTAAATAAAAAAAAGAGCAATTTGACAATACATAGTAATGTTGAAGATGCACATACACTATTCAGCAATTTCAGTCTAAGATTTATTTTTAAGAGTAGCTAATGTATATGTCCTGAAGAAGTAAGGGGGTATTCTCTACAGAACTTGCTTTTTAATGTCTAAGAAGTGGAAATATATCTTTGTTTTTCAACTGGTAAAATGGAAAAGTTTTGGTTTCCATGTATACTGAAATTCCTTAAAGCAGTTAAATAATATATCAAGTCCCAAAACATACTATTAAGTGGAAAAGAGAATTGTAAGAGATTATTGTATTAATTTTACCACAAACTTAGTAAACCTTTGTTTCCTGTATTATAACTTCCATAGGTCAATAGCCCAGGTATGTCTTAGCTGGATGCCTTGTTTCAACATCTTGCTAAATTACATTCTGGTATCATCGAGGGTTTTGTTCTCATCAGAGGCTTGACTGGGGTAAGAACCATCTTCAAGGTCTCTTGAGCTATTGGAATAGTTATTTCCTTTTGGCTGAAGGACTAAGGAATTTGATTTCTTCCAGGATATTCCTTTCAGCTTCTAGAGGTCACCCACATCCCTTACCACATAGGAATAATTTGACCACTTAACATGTAACATGACACCACTAGCAAGATGGTGTTACATGCTTACCATAATTACACAACAAAATCACATATATGGGGGAACCAGCAGTTAGCATAATAGCTATGTCGCTGGACTCCCACGTAGTCGACCGCGGTTCGTGTCCCGGACCCGGTGGCTTAAAAAACTCACGCCGGGCGCTTGTGCGTGCGTGCCCAAGATCCCGAGAGGAGAATGGAGGAGAAGGGATTGCGGCATGACCATCCCCCCTGGGGGGTGATTTCTCGCTTTCTGTCTCTATGTCTCTCTCTGTCTGTCTGGCGAGCGCATGCGCCCTACAGTGAAAATCTCTCTCAAAAAAAAAATCACATATATGGCATAACTTCCACATCATTGTATGGGTTAGAAGCAAGTTTCACATCTCACTCATATTCAAGATGAGAGGATTGCATGGGTGTACGATTACCAGAAAGTGATCATGGGAACCACTTTAAAGTCTGTTCCCTAAAATTATGTATAACATATAACATATGTAAGTGTTTCAACATATAAAAAAGAGCAACATGGTTGCTAAGAAATTATGCCGAATGACATAAAGCAAATCCCCAAAGATTCATATGGTGTGATTCCATTTGTATAAGAGTCTTCAAATATCAAAATTATAGAAATAGAACAGATGAATGATTTCCAGGGATCAGGTACAAGGGATGTCCACGGGAAAGAGACAGAGATAGGTTTGAGTATTAAAACAAAACAAAACAAAACAAAACAAAACAAAAACAAAACAAGAAGTATACATAACTTTATAGTGTCTAGACTGTGTCAATGTTAATATTCTATCAGTGTAATTTGTTCTACAGTTTTGCAAGACGTTAACATTGAGGCAAACTGGATAAGGGAAAACTGGAATTTTCTGCTTTGTTTTTCTTAAAACTGCATGCACACTATAATTATAAAAAAAATGTTTAATCAAGAAACAAACACCTTCTAAAAGAAAGCAGAAACATTTTAAAAACCAAACCAAAACCAAACAAAAGAGCCCCCACAGTATGAATTCTGAATGGTGAGCAAAAAACAGTAAGACAAAAATAGATTGAGAAAAAAACTGGTAAAGAGCTGGTTGACATAAAGAAGCTAATTTCCAAGAAGATAATTAAAATCATTATTGGAGGGAATAGAGAGTAGAATGGCTCTGCAGAAAATCAAACTGGTAACTTGGAGGGCAAGGTTGAGAGACTCTCAAAATATAGAAGAAAAAAGAGGCATTGTATGTTCCCGCTTAATATATACTGAGTGTCTGCACTCTATGACTGAAACTAATTCACTAAAGGATATAGAAACACAGTATATAGATGTAAATACCAGATATAGTATGTATGCAAGAGGAGGGTCTG